CCTGTGCACACCCGACAGGTGAGGCCCCTGCAGCAGATCCCTCCTGCGCCTCCCTCTCTCTCTCTCTCCACCTGAAGGGACCTCTTGCAGGGGGGGCTGCAGGGGCTGTCCTGGTTGCAGCAGGAGGGTCTCCAGGAGGCAGGGAGTCAGGGGTCCCTGGGGCGGAGAAAGAGATGCCCAGGTGAGCCTTTCCAGGCAAGGCAGGATCGACTGTGAGCTCCCAAGGCTGCTGGAGGACTGAGGAGGGAGAAACGGGGTCCAGTGTCCCCCCAATTGGTTACAGGCTGGGCCTCCCACCCACCTCATTCCCCTTTCCTCTTCCCCCCTCCACGATTCTCTCTGCAGGGAAGGAAGGAAGACCATGGGGCGATTCCTCTTGGTGACCCTCAGCTTGCTGGTCGGGGCTTTCTTCCTAAATGGTGAGTTTGAAGAGGGTCTCTAATGTGTCCAGAGAGGCCAGTTCTTCCCCTCTGACCCCCTTCCTGATTTGACCCTCCTGGCATCCTCTCCCCAAAGTTGCTTTTATCCCTGTTTGGCGTCTTGTGCAATTTAGACCCCACCTGCTCTCTCTCTCTGCTCCAAGACTTGGGACCAACCCAAGTGGATTGATTCACACCAGGCAGGCAGCTTCCAGGAAACTAACCAAGGCTAACCCTAACCAAGATTTGGACATTCTGCAAATGCAGCTGCAAGTCCGTTTCAATTTATCGTCCTCAAATATGTTTGCAACTCAGCAGGTTCAGAATGTTCTGTGGGCCCAGCTGTGTCTCCTCCTCTTCCTCCTCCTGGCCACCTTCTCACTGAGCTTCTTCTTTTCCCACACAGGAGCCAACAGCAGCTGTTGTCCCCAAGATTGGCTCCCCAGGAATGGGTTTTGCTACAAGGTCTTCAATGATCCCAAGAACTGGGACGATGCTGAGGTTAGAAGTGCTGTGTGTCTGTGAATCTCCTAGTTCAGGCAGAGGAGAAGTCTAGGCAGAGCCTTGAAGACTTCACCCCACAAGTTCCTCTGGGTGGGCTGAAGTGCAGGGCCACCAGGCTGGGTGCATGAAAAAGTAGCAAGATCATTATTTGAGGACAGTCTGAAATGCAAGTGTTCTCTGGACTGTATACTGGTGTGGGCTTTCATGGCTGGTATCTGTTGGGCAGTGCTGAGCCTCCGGGTGGAGTGACCGTGATCTAGACAACAGATTTCCTGATGTTTCACTGGTAGCTCTGGTGGCATCTTCAGGCCTCCTTGTCTCTGAAGTGATGGGAATCCAAGAGTTTATCTCCTGGATCTAGAATTGTTCAAGAGCTGCAGAATCTAGAAAGGGCACCCGAGGGGAGTCAACGCAGTCAGGATGGCGTCTAGGACATGAAATCCGATTCCCTGGCTCTTTTCCCACTTTCACAAAGTGACACACGCAAGCACATTTGCGTGTCTCCCTAACAAGTGCCTTTCTCCCTTGTGGCTCCATCCCAGACGCTCTGCAGGAAATACAAGCCAGGCTGCCACCTTGCCTCCATCCATGGCGGTGAAGAGTCAACTGACTTGGCCGAATGCGTCTCCGACTATCTCAGGAATGGCTGTTATCTTGGCCCAGGGGGAGGAAACATCTAGGCAGACCCTTGAACCGCCCCCAGGTCCCCTCTGGTTGGGCTGAAGTAGAGGGTTACACCGTAGGTTGGGTGCATGGCGAGGTAGCCCAGATCATGATTTGAGGACAGCCTGAAATGCAAGTATTCTATGGACGGTATCATGGTTTGGCCAGTATCTGCTGGGCAGTGTAAGGGCCTGGAGGCTAAAACATATGAAGAACGGTTGCAGGAATTGGGTATGGCTAGTGTGGTGAATAGAAGGACCAGGGCAGACATGATAGCAACCTACCAATATCTAAAGGGCTGCCACAAAGAAGAGGGGTAGCAATAGCACTTAGACTTATATACCACTTCAAGGGGCTTTCCAGCCCTCTCTAAGCGGTTTACAGAGTCGGTTTCTTGCCCACAACAGTTTGGGTCCTCATTTTACTGGCCTCAGAAGGATGGAAGGCTGAGTCAACCTGGAGCCTGGTGAGATTCGAACTGCCAAATTGCAGTCAGCCGGCAGTCAGCAGAAGGAGCCTGCAGGGTTGTGCTCTAAGCACTGCGCCACCAAGGCTCAAATGTGTGTATCTGGGTGTCAAATTATTCTCCAAAGCACACAAAAGCACACCAAAAG